TTAACCAAAATGATTAACTCAATAGTTGAGTGCCATTTGATATCATAGGCCCATGTTTAAATTCGCGATGTGAGTAATAATATTTTTTTTCATTTTATCCTAGGTGGTGACAACGTCTATTTGGTTGAATAAAATGATTAAAAAGTATCTCCTACAGGGTAAGAGAAATTCTCAAACCTAAATGCTATGGAGTGGGTTCAGGGTACGAGGAGGAGCATGATGAAGGAATCCATAGCTAAAGAGGGCTTTCAGTTCTATGGGTCACATTCTTAGTCGTCAAGACGTCAAAGGGAGTGTTATGGTTGCTCCAGAGCATAAAAGTTTATAGCCTATAGGTGTCTGAATTACTTATTGAGGGATTCCTCAAGACTCCAGCAGTGTCACTTCAGCACACGCACCCAACAGTTGAACGAGATTGATGATGTGATTTTATATTAGTTCTATCTATAGCTACTAGACGCTCATGTGTCAGTCCATTATGCACGGTTAGGGTCGGAGAAAATTCTGATCTTACTGATGCAATCACAAGTATCTTTACATTATTTTCAGCTCTTGTTACTGTATTTGTAGACTCGGATCTATGCATTTATACTTATGTAGTGGAATCATTACTAATTTTATTAATTAGTACGTGAATCTTCGAGAATATATATATTGAAAACAAAACATGATTATGTTAAAATCAATAATTTATATTTAAACCCTATTATGACTTTACTCTAGTTTATTAAAGTAAGATAAACAATCAGTTGGTCTAGTACGATGGGACACTAGGTCTCTTAAGCAAGGTCAAGGGTTTGAATCCTGGCGTTTGCGAATGAAACAAATTGGGTTGGGAGGGTCGCCCTCGCCTCTACAGTACCCGATCTAATTAATCGGTCAATATATCGAATACCAGTGATTAATTCAAAAAAAAATGTTTGCATATCTTACATGGAATTAACCAAGACATCTTACGTTTAGGGAATAATTTTGGTATAATGTCAAAAAAAAATGTTTTTAATGTTTGAAGAAATTGTCACTTTTGTCCCTATTCTTTTTTTTTTTGGAGTATTTTAGTTTTAATCTTTCATCTTGGAGCAAAAAGATATATTTGTGGATGAAAATCATTAGTTAACAAACGATTAACGTTTTAAAATAGAGATATTTTCCCTAAAATGAAACGAGGGGTCAAAGTGTTCTAAATAATAATATAAGCAACAATAACAATTTAGTTAAATGTTAGGGTTCTCCTAAAAGAAAATGTTATGGGACAGTTACTTTAAAAAGATATAGATTAATGTGACTATTTTATCCTATGTTAATAATATATTTGTACATTATGACATTAATTTTATACCCTAAGCCGTTAGAAGAGTTGTGGGTGTCTAAAAATGGTTTCTTATCCTAAAACATTAACGAATATAGGAATCTTTTAAAATAACTAATAATCATTGATTTATGTCATATGTTGTGAAACATATAAGTTCATAATTTATATGTACAAAAATAATATTTTAAAATTACATGAAACTAAGACTGTAATGCTCTTAGTTTGGAAGGTCCAAAATTTGGAAGAGATATTTAGAATTTTAAGGTTTAAGAGTTGTTGTGCTCATGTAGTACATTTAGTTTATCATTTTTATTCCTATAATATTTTTGCATCAATTTAGTTATCAAAGTTGTTTAATTGCATCATAACATACTTAAACCCTAACTTAAAATCCTAAACCCTAAATCATAACTTAAAACCTTAAACAATAGTAAATATTTAAACATTGATACAATTGAAAATTTTCGTTAGCTAAATTGATGTAAAAATAATATACTGACGAAAATGAAAAATTGAGTCTACTAAAGGGACAAAAGGAACCCGTAAGCCGAATTTTAATGATTAAAAGTTATTAAAATGACAAAATATATTATTTGATAAATGTTTTTTTAAAAGATAATATTTGACTTCAAAGGGTTCTATTATTTTTATAAAAGTACGAGGGTCTCTTGAATCGTTAAGTCAATTGCTCTCTTTTAGGTTGAACAAAACTAGATTTAATTCAGAAAAAAAAAGTTAATTTTAAATTGTTTGAATCGAATTATTTGAGTCAACTCGAATTAGATATTTAAATTTAAAGTTTAAATTTAAAAGTGTGAAAAACTGAATATTAAAATTACCTCTTTTTTGTCTTTGACTTTAGCTCCAATAATTTATTAGTTCTAATCCTTAATTTATTTATTTCTTCAATTCTTTCTTCGTTTTAAGTTTATTTTTATCATAATGAATCACAGCTAACTACTATAGAATATATGTGTAACTTCAATTCTTGGCAATAAAATTTCAAGTTTTTAATTTAGTCTCTTAACTTTTCATTTTATTCAATTTGATCCTTGGATTACATCTCTTGGCAAATTCTTTCTTCCCTTGAATTACTTGACTCCTATATACTCTCATTAATACTTTGCCATCAAAATCTCTTTTTTAAAAAATAACATTGTAAATACATTACATAACTTTAGATGATATTTGATTTATTAAATAATATTATAAATTTTACTTACACATACAAACGAAGTTGTAAGTGAACAAATATACATATTATATATAATTATAGAGAATTATTTAAATTAATATTATAATACTATAAAAATATTATAATTAAATTTAAACAAACACTCATAAAGCTATATTCAATTTATCCAATTTTTATAGGCCCAACTAAAAAATTGAATACTGCAGGAAGTTCTTCTGCATTGCTTTGTGGGTCTATAATTTCTTCCCCGACTATTTCTTATGGGTTTTTTTTGGGGCTCAAATTTGTGAAATTTAGCTCAAGTTTTATTTGAATTTTCTAAATCAAGTTTTGGGTTTAAATATTTGGAGATTGTATTATTAGATTTAGGGGATTCGTCAGTTGTATTTATGGGTTCAAATTTACAAGTATGTTCAATGAAGTCGACCATGAGAACTCCTATACACTTTAAAATAGGTTTGATTAATATTGCACAATCAATATCTAAATAGGATTCTCCGATGCGAAAATAGATTGATAGATTACATTCTACCAAGGGTATACATTAACCCAAGTGGCATTGTCTCTACTGAAATAAACTCCATTCTCTCTCACCGATCACATGTAAGAATTATGATACTTCCTACATAATTTTTCGTCCCTTTTAGCATCAAAAGCGTCGAAACGTTGCCTCTTGCGACCCACCCACCCACCGTGCGTTGCAGAAGAAAAGGGTCGTGTGAAAAAAGTTGGTCTTGGTATCCCACGTGTAATCCTGTCCCTTCATCATCTGTCTTTCACCGATGTCCTTGTTCTTGGACTTGCAGCGCAGGAACAAATTCGGCTCGCTGGGTGGCGAATTAAGTAAAGACAAATCGTTTACGATGGGGATGTGGAAGTTTATGAACCAATCACTCTCCACAAACGGAAGATGGGTAACCAAAAATGCAAACAGCAATGGAAGGGCAATGCTTTTCTGATTATCTATGTTTCCTGTGTTATTTAATAAGTTTTATTATCACCATATAAGAATTGTTGCTATTTATAGATAGTTATTTTTAGGTTAAATTTTTACTTAATAAAGTTTGAGTTAATTAACAACGAAACTAAAATTTGAACAAAATTTAAATAATGAAATAATATTCGTTAATTAAGGACGCTTATTTGACTGCTCCTCAAGCCTCACTTTCCGCCGGCTAGCTAACGCCAAGACACCAACTACAATCTAATGTCCGCCCCCTGCATAGGCTTTCAAACAATCAAAATTAAGGGTAATTATTAGAATGATCGCTTTCATTCTAATTTTGTTCATTTTCTATTATCAATTTTAAGAAAGTTATATTTAAGCCATTTACATTGCCGATTTATTAAATTTTAATCATTTATTTTATCAATTGTTATATTTTAATCATTAAACTGTTAATTCATATTAGTTTGGTGACGTAGTACGTTAGTAAAAAGATAATATTTTAATTTTATCCTTAAGCTTTAGATGAAATATCTTTCATCTTAAATTTTATATGAAATATCAATTTGATTCTCGAATTCGACCAAAGTTTTTAATTGTCGGTCGGCACTCACCACCATCACTACCGGTCACCGTCGGTTGTCGCCAACTTTTGGACTCCAAAATTTCTAGTTTACTCTTTTAGGACCGTCGGGTGACTCAGGTATTCATTTCCGGTTTTTTCTTTCTTTGACTCTTTCTACTGAATATGATTATTGGGGCTCCATGAATTCATAACATTGTGTATAGAGTTTGATAAATGAAAATTTTCTTAACCGTAATCAGAGATGTTTGTTGATAGTTATCAAGGGCGTATGTACATGGCTCCCTAGGGAGCTATTACACACCCACTATTTTGAGAAGAATATTAAATTTAGTTTAGTTTATTAATGGAAATATAAAAAAATAAAGAAATTTGCATATCCAAAATGATTTTAAAATAAAGTATTAAAATTTTAAACCCCAATTTTAAATTTCTAGATCTACTACTGATAGTTATGTTTTGTATTTAATATATTAGGTGCATCAAAGGACAATATTAGGGAACTCTTCTCAAAAGCATATAGGATTGCTCATTCAAATGTTTTCATTGATGACTTATGTGGATGGATCTCAAATACACATAATATTAGAAAGCTTTTGGGAGTAAATTTGATATAAAACTATTGTTTTAGTATCTATTTTATATCTTAACAGTGATTTAGGGGTAAAATTAAACATTAACTTTTTTATTAATATTGTCACATCATTAATTTAATAAGATAATAATGGAGTGATCATTTTGTTATAAATCGATAACGTTGGTGACTCATATATTACTTTTGAAACTTCAATGAAGGAAAATAAAAAATTATTCAAACATTAGTGACCGTTTTGTAGTTTTACCCTATTTGGGAAAATTTCTTTTTGTATTTTCCACAGGAAAATCGTTTGACACCTTCACTGAAAAGTGAGTGGTAATGGGTTGAATACCGAGCGGGAAAAATTTACAAATAACTTGAATGAAGTCGAACTCCTATAGAGTAACAGGCAATCCATAGTTCTGGATCGTCCTGATTGTTCCATTCCGACTGCCTGCAACTATAACGAGCCCCCATGTTTCCGGTAGGGCCGTGTGATACTGGCCGTTTTGACGGAGTTGCTGGTGCTCATATGCATATAATTCATCATCCGCAAATGCTGTATCCCATAACGGAAGCTTTTCTTCGGGCCATGTTGCAGAGCCCTTGAAGGAGCTGTCAATGGAGAACCAGTTACCAAGAGAGAATCGTTGCGAATCTCTGATTGGAGAAGCACCCTCCATCTGATCCTTTCTAGGATAGCAGTCCGAGTGACTCCGATCCGAGCGCTGGCCTAACCAAGGTATTGCAACGGACACATCTTCACAGAAGAAGTGCTCGCGAGACGAAACGGATTTCATGTGTTTCGATGTTCGGGGGCACATGCTATTGTAGTTCCAGAAGTAAACATGACAGTCTTCTCCAAGCGATATTATATGTCTCCCGGTCGACGTGAAAGATGCCGACATCTGACTTCCTGACTTCGGTAGTCCTGCACCATTCAAGGAAGATATTAATCAAATGAACTACCATAGACTATTAAAAGTGCAGATAGAAGAACAGGGCAAACGCAAAATGCAGCAACGATATAAACCGAATTCCCGAGTTATCGAATAAAGAAAGGTTACCTTTAAATTTACGAACGATATCTACGCCGTCGAGTATTCGGAGTTTGGAATCTTTTGATGCTACCATAACTTTGTGGGGTTCATCCTGGGAGAACTGCAAGATGGAACCAAAATCATGAAATATTACTGCAAGCAAAAGATATTAGAATCTAGAACTCGAGTGCAAAACCTGAATACTTGTGATCTTGTTGCCCAAAGTTTTCTTTCTGCCAGGAATTTGAACCTCGGCCTCCAAATTAATGCCGTCGCCTATAGCACCAAGAACATAAAATCAGAAATAATCAGGTCGAATGAAAACAAAAGGCGAACAACTAAATTAAAACAGTAGAATCGAACTCGGGACATGGAAGAGATGTATAACCTGAAGCCTCATAGAAATGGCAAGTGCCTCTAATGGAACCGACGATAAATTCCTGCTAGAACGAAGGGGCATGGAACGATTACAGATGAAATCGAAAACAACTATTTTAGCAGAAGAATATTGACTCGAGTGTTCAGAACCAAACCTTTCCGTCTGGCCGGTAACATATAGCAGTTATAATGTCGCGTACATCGACCCAGTGAACGACTCGTTTCTCCGACACTCCCCAAATCCTAACTTTTCCATCTATGGAGCCACTGATGAAGTAATTGTCATCCATCGGATTGAACTGGATACAAGTTACTGTTTGCATACAAAGAACATGGTCAGACCATGACAAAACATATTCCAAAGTAACGAAATAGGATCGAGTCATTCCGTAGTTACCATAATCGTTATGATGAAAAACATTTAGATATTGATCGCAGCCGATTTTCCATAGTCGAACCGTCTTATCCATGGAAGAAGAAACAAGGAACTGCAACAAGAAAGAAAAACCGATTCAAGCATACGAAAAACATGTCTAAAACCGAGTTGCTAAGTTTCTGCATTGTCTCACATTTGAATTGGACCATGCAACATCTAAAACATCACTGGAATGGCCATGGAACTCATGAATTGGTGACTCCTTGATCCAAAAAATCTCATCAGGAATAACAACTTGAGAGTGAACCGACTTTTCTCTGCCGAAACCGAACTTTCCGTTGCCCATAGATCTACCTAAACCGCGCTCCGCCATCAAAGGTTTACTAAAGGCATCTATCGATGTTACACGCCATATTCGGACTTTCCCGTCTTCACCGCCGGTAGCCAAATATTGACCGTCGGGGCTAAACTTCATAGTCCAAATGTAGCCCCTGTGAGCCTGTATTTCTTGTCCCATATAAAGCTCTGAAAACTCCATGTAACCTTTCTTGTTGGACTGAACCATCATCCTGTTCGTTTTATGGACTTTGAAGCTCGGATTGATTACCTTAGATGAACGCCTGCCTTCTCCTTTCCGCATGCTCGAAAAGTGTTTCCACCATTTCTTCAATTTCTTCGTATTAACTTCAACATTTCCAGATTCATCAAGTTGATGTTGTGTTTCCATTACCTTCTGTTCTAGCTCTGATTCATCAACCAACAAATTGGCTTCGCAACTCATTTCCCTATCACAGACAGCAATGGTTTCATTGCCGTTGCCGGTAGGCGAAATCGAAGAACTTGATACAGCATCACTGCATTCTGTGATCCTCTCCAAGGAAAGCTGAACAAGATCCATTCCATGAAGAAATCTTCGGCGTCGTTCCTCAACACTCCGAGGTTCATCCATCCAAATTCCATACTCTAATTTCCCCCACTCTGATCCTACTTTGGCTAAAACCGGCTCCTCGACAGACAAGAAATCCGAAGAATCGAAGAACACATCAATCTCACCCTCTTCACAGCTCAGCATGACTTGTAACTAAGTCCGGCTTTACACATCAAAATCAAATCTTTCAATACATTCCTCTAAACAATCCCAAGAACACTTCCCTAGAACCCTTTAAATTGCCTTAGAATCAGCGGTTTTACTCAATTGATTATGTAAACCAATGGGATTGAAGCCAAACCGGAAATGATCAAATAGTTAAAAACAAAGATCAATGCTTGAACGGTTTCAAAACTCGTACATTGGGTTCAATGCACTCATCAAAATTCGATTTTTCAACCTTAAAGAACACTGAAAACTAAACCTGGAAAAACTTTTTCTTCAAGGCACTCGCTTTAACAAATGAGAAGAAGAAAATAAAAACCCAGAAATACAAAAGCAAAATGGCTTATAGGGAGGGTGTGTGGTTCGCCATTTGGGACCTCGAGATTTGGGATTTTTGGAAACGCACGAGCGACAAGAAGAAGCGGCGCAGCCCGGTAAACGATAGAACCTACACTTGTGCTTTCTGCAATTTCTCTTCTATTTGTGTTGGTAATGATAGTGATGATTATATCTACCGATATCTGTAAACACCAACAAGTTAGCCAAAACTAATGGCGCAACTAAATAGGTGAAAATCGATGAAAATCCCACAAAGACCAAATGACCGGCTTTTCAACATGAAAAAAATGTATATGGAAACTCTAGGAGAATTGGAAAATGCAATACTAAAGGTAATTAAATCATTCTTAGTACCCCATCACAGCAAAATTCTAATGGTGGGAAGGAAAACTGACAATTCAGCTTTTTAGTACTGAGAAGGAGAGGAAAAAGTATGTTTTTTATTAATAAAAAAGAAAGCTTTTTACCTTTAAAGCTGTAGTACAGTTGGTTATGTTATGTTGATTAATTAGGCTGAAAATTTTGAGATCTGCTCAGCAACAACACTAGTAATAGGCTCAACAACAGCAGCTCAACTCATTTAAGAGCAAAGTGTCCCAAAAAAAAATGGCAAAATAATAATAACTATATAATTACAGAGTCTAGGGGAGCCTACTACTGAGCTACCAGAGAAACCTCAACTGGTTTAAACAAATAGGCTGGTTTCATTTTCAGCTAAACAAAAAGAACACACTCATAAACCAGATTATGTTTTCTCTTGGGTTTGGTGTTTGAAGCAGATTATGTTTAGTAAATGTTTGATAAAAATGGCAAACATGATGAAAGAGTGTAGCTTTGTTTAATCTCTTGTTTATCTGTTTCTGGTTTTTTGAGTGGTAGTGCAAAATCCCGGGTTTTGGGGGTTGTTGCTGGAATAATAATGTAAACGAGATAATCATCCAATGAGAAGAAAAAAGTGGGAACTCAACTCGGGTTCTGGGTTTTGAATTTGATGAACTAGTCTTTGATAATTTATCTTTGTGGACTAAAACGTCAAGGGACCAACATTTTTCATAAACTCCGAATAGTAATTACGGCATTGTACGGTGTGAAATTGAATAAAATAAATGGGAAAAGAAGAGAGATGATACGGAGGAGGGGCGTGAATGAAGATGAGCACCCGGCCAAAAAGCTGGGGGTTTTTTTTTTTTTTTTGATTTTGCTGAGAAGCTTCCAAAAGCAAGTGTCATTGGTAATGGCAAATGGGGTTGGGTTGAAACCACACCCCATTTTCAATATTTCATATCAGACTCCTGTTTTTTTCCAACCCCATGATTTTGATTTGGACTTTTGGATTATGCTGAAGGTTGCCATTGCCACTTGACAATAAAATCTCATGTTGCCCTGATGAAAATGATATAGAAAATAACCCCAAGGACTAATGGAAGAAGAAAAATGAAGATTTTGTTTTCACACCGGTAGATGATATAAGACACTATCTGTTTAAATATTTATTAATTATTTGATAGTGAACATTCATACACCCCTACTTACGTAGTGCTTGAACTTGAGAATTAAAGTTAAAAGGATAACAATAATCTCTTAATTACTAAAATCATTTGGTTCGTGTGTAATAGTATTAAGCTTTTTAATTTTTCAATTAACTACTTAATTTTAAGAGTTTTTTTGTCCAAACCACATTCCAGCAGTGTCAAATAATCATCTTATCCGTTTTTTAATTCAATTAATTGCAGTAAAGCTTTAATTTTGTAGACACTACACTTAATGATTTGGCTAACAAATTTTCTCTCCAATAATAGGATGAACAGCAAACATGACCTAATTAGTGACAAAATGTAGGACAAGGGGGAGAAAGAAAATAGAGCTATTTTTCTTTTAATTTCAAATGATAGATTTGAACGCCCAAGTTTTGGTTGGTATATCTCTATTTCATTGTCACCTCGAGCTTTGTGCCTGGAGACTTGGAGAGAGAATGAGAATTCCCAAAAGCTAATCGCTAGATTCAGGACAGAGAAGGAATCCTTTTCATGCTACTGACATTTCGCTTGAATATTACTTATATTTTCTTAGCATATTCTTTTTAAATTATTTTTGTAATACAATTATGCCAAATTTATTATTATTAGGATCATATTTTATGAATTATGAACGCTTAAAAAAACAAGATATAGTTTAATTAACGTTACTTTAACAAGAGTATTTTTAATAAAACTAACGGTTTCTATCCCAAAAAAAACGATAATCCAATATTTTAATCATTTTTATTAAAATTATATATTTTCTGAAAACCTAAAAGTAGGATTCATTATTCTAAATTATTTTCATCTCAATGACAAAAACAAGATATATTGCTGTAAAATCATGTGGATTGCCAAATGCCAACGGAAATATAATGACAAAGACGAAGTTGCCAAATTTCTGACCAAATGCAATGGGCAACAAACAAAACTCTCAATTATTTTTGGTGTTGGGGTTTTCACCTCTCACGTCTTTAATGTGCCCTATTTTCTTTGCTTAATAAATATATATTTTTGCGAATATAAACATGAATAAATCAAAAACAAACATTGTAAGACAGAGAGAAGAAGTAACCTTGGACAGCAATGGCTGAACTCACGAGTGCAGAGGAGAGAATCCCCAGTCTTGATGTAGGAAAGGAGAGTCGAATACTCTGTGTGTGTGTGGTTGACAATCAAACCATATAAATATATAATAATCATTTAATTAAGTAATTAAATAATGAAGCCACCTAGTGTTTGATTAGCCCGTAGCAGTTGGGGCCATATCTCCACTCAATCTTCTCTCCATTTCCTCTCATTTAAAGCCAAAAGCTGCATTGCTTCCCATTTTTCGTCGGGTAAACTACGCTGTTGATATATACCGACTAATTTTGAAAAAAAATTACATTATGATCACTTTTGCTTTCTATATGTGTTATTTTGATCACGTAAATTCCATTTAATTTAAGTGATATGTCAGTAAAAATGATTAATTTTTAACTTGACAACTGAATTTTAGTCAAAAATACAAATTTGATTCTAAAGTTTATATGAAATATCAATTTGATATCTGAATCCAATTAGAGCCCTCGTCAACATCCACCACTCATCACCCACATATCACGGTAAGTTGCATGCAATATACAATTTAAATCTTAAAACCTAAATCATAAACTCAATGGCTGATGCAAAGCATCCTCAAGGTGGGCACATGCCCACCCTAGAACCGAGTTTCTTTATATTAGATGTTCATTTTACAATGGGTGCCAACCCTGAAAATTTTACCTATGACTACCACATACAAAAATTTTAATAATTAATATGTGTATGTCCACCTTAAAATTATTTCTGGATCCGCCACTGCATAAAGACCCTTAAACATTAAATCATAAATCCCAAACATCAAGCATTAAACCTTAAATCCCAAACATCAAACCACAACCCTAAAACTCGAACATTAAACCCTAATCCCTACCCCCAAGTATTAATTTTTAAGTTTCTATTAAAAATGTTTACATTGTATGAGAAATCAATCAATCATCAAATTCACCAATAATTGTTGCAAATTGATTTTAAAATATTTTGAAGTATCAATTTGAAAACCATCTCCAAATTATTTGTAATCATATTGTATTCTTTACGGAGTTAATGGCTTCGTGCGGTGATGTCAAAAAAAAAAGTTTGAAGTAATAAGTTTTTTGTTTGGTTGTAATTGGTTTTCTGAAAATTGAATTTTGGAAAATAAATTACATTTTATGGAAAACGTTTTGCGATGTTTAGAAGATGTTGTTTAAACATTTTTTACACTAGTTAATGAGTTTTTTAAAAATTATTTATTATAAATATTAAATACAATAAATAATATTATTTATCATAAAACTTAATATAATTATTTTTAAAATATTAAAATAATGTATTTATTATTAAATATTATTTTTATAATTTTATTAACAAAAATATTAATATTGGTATATTTTATTGAAATAAAAATATTATAAATTATATTAATTATTTATTAAAAGTGATAGTGTTATGTTATATTTTAAAAATATTAATTAGTATATTTTAAATATATTTATTAAAATATTATTATATTAATATTAAATATATAAATAATATTATTCATTATTAATAATTTAATAATATTATTTCTATGAAATTAATAAATAATATAAATTTTATTAATAATTTATTATATATTATCAAATTAAAAATATTATATTATATTGTTAGAAATATTAATAAATATATTTTTAATAATTAATATTTTGATTAAAATGATAT